TCATAGTTCTGTCCATGACATTGCAGATTCATTTCAAAGGAATCAAATCACTATTGTTCACAGGAAAAGCTCAAATGAACATTTTAAACTGTACCTGTTTTCATGATATGAATAGCATCAGAAGGTGATTTTGAGAGATTTTACTTCGTAGCCATCTTCTATTAAACTTACAGCAGTAACAAGTCCAAATTGACTTGAACTCTATAAAACATTCTGGAAATGAGTCCCTGTAAAAGTGTGAGCTTTTATAGGAAAAATCAATTTATGACCTAAACTGCCTGGCAAGATGTTATTCCGTTCTTATTTGGGATATTATCTAATTTGTATGGGTAAGGGACCTTTACAATCTACTGATAAGAATAGCAGCGAAAGACTTTAAAGAAAAAAGCATATATATAATTGATATTATTAATAATAATAGTGACCGTTTTGGAGATGCTGTTGTTTGTAAGCAAAAAATTCCAAAAAGTTTCTCTCAGTGTTTCTAACCACTTAAGAACCACAACTGGTTCTTACAAAAATATACACCTTATGTGCACTTTTCAAATTCTGTAGGTTTTCTATAGCATGTTTGCCCCAGTTCTATAATAGGAAGGCATGGCTTGGAATAGATCACCAAGATGTGTGAAAGTGACTTATACTCAAACCTTATTTCCTTACTATAACAGTCCATAGTTCATGAAAGAAACTCTTGAGATCCATAGTTGATAATAGAACCTTCTAATTATGAAAATATCAAAAGTAAAATTGCTGTCAGGTTTCTTTTTCCCCTTTCTTAAACAAATGTATATATTTACATAGGTGTATACCTATACATTGTATGTATTTATATATACACTTATTTATTTTAAAGCCTTTTTGTGTTAGACTAATGTTCTTTCTGGCTCAACATGGTGTCTCCTAGTGGCAACAGGAAAATCCATTTAGGAGCAAAGAAGTTAGCTAGCTAGCTAAAAGATAGCTAGCTATTTTCTGTGTTCCATTACTGTTGTACTCTCCTAGCATCCACAGTGGTTGTAGTAGAAATATTAGAGTATACAGCACTTCCCTTCCCTTTTTGCACTCCCTATGTGTACCTGTTCCCTGAATTTGACAAAGCCTTTTTTTTTCAGCCTGCTGTGGCAACAAATTTGTAGAGCACAGTCTACAAAAGTCATATTCCCCTGAGTATTCTACTCTCTAAACTGAAGAGGTCCAAGCTTTTTGTATCTCCTTGCAAAGCAGCTGCTTCTATCCCTTGTTCACTTTAGTGATCAAGTCCGCTATCTTTCTTGTGATTCAGAGACCAGAAAAGTACACAGTACTCACAATGCTGGCACACTAAAGTTTTATATAACAGCGAAATTACACCTATTATATTGATTTCAATATTTATTTTCCGCTCACACCCAAAGCTTTTTTTTTTTTTTTGCCTTTTTGACTGCTTTCGCATATTGCATCGGTTTCAGAAAAGTTGAACTAATGACTCTGAAATCTCTTTCCTGAAGCTCCAGGGAAGAACTGTCTTCTGTGTTCAGCCATGCAAAGACATGGATGATTTATGCAAGGGATTAAATTTTATTTATCTATGTTGAAGCTCATCTGGCAGCTTTTTGCAGACGTAATTTTGTGAGGTCCTCTTGGAATTCCTCACTGACAGCATTTTACTGCCCATAAAAGCTTAGCACCATCTTCAGACTTGGAAATTACACTACTTAATCTCTTACTCAGGTTACTAATGAAGATTTTGAACAAGACTGTTCAGTAACAATCCATTGAGAAACCTGCTGATGTCTATCCTTCTCTTTAACCAACTTTAATTCCTTTAAAGAACTTTTTTGCCAGTTCTGTGGCAGCTCTGATTTTTAATATCCTTTCTGTGCAACCTTGTCAAAAAACATTTTGAAAGTGTATTGTGTCCATTGGATTGCCTTTGTGCATGTTTTTATTGACACCTTTATAAAACAACAGAAGTTAGTGATGAAGGATTCCCTATGATAGACCTCTCCTATCTCTTGCCCAAGACACCATGTTTATCCATATGCTCAGTAATATTATTCTCTATTATACACTCTACCATATTTCCAGTAAATGAAGTCTGACTCACTGATCTGTAATTTCAAGTATCCCTTCTAAAACTCTTATTATAGGTGATATTTACATTGACAAACAACTAACCCTCTAAAATGATAGGATATACACCTTAGTTCAGAAGTTCTGGATGAATGCTGTCTGCTCATGGTCTTTTGCCTTTATTTTTGCTATTTTTTTGCTATTAGACTAAATATATTTAGCTTTTATATTTGCAGCTTTTTCTAATCTTAACATTTCCTATTCACTCTATTTTTCTGTGTTATGGGGTTGTAGTTAGTAATACATTTGTATTGCTAGAACTTTATTTTCCACTAATAAGTAGTCAGTTGTACTTTTTTTTTCCTTTTTTTTTTTTTTAGTAATATCTTTCTGATATAAAACTTCATACAATTCTTTACACATAGTGTTGCTGCCCACCTGGAAATCCTACCCTATCGTTCTTGTTAAAGTCACCCAGCAGTACTGCAGCCCTGGCACCACTGGTCTGTGAGATGCTTTTCACATCAGAGTGATTGACTGGCGTTCTAGTTTCCACGTATTATATTTTAGACATTGTTGTAGAAATGCTTAATTTTTCCCGTATTTTCCATCAGTCCACTTGCATTGCAGGTGATCTGATTGGCTTCCCTGTTCAATGCAAAACTGCTATTTGTCTCCCTGCTGCTTTTTTTGGGGAGATAAAATGACATGTAGTCTCATCGCTTTCATGGCTCCACGTCAGCTTTTCTGAAGAAAAACTTCTCATATGAGTTTTTCCCCCTGCGTCTAGTTGAAGGACTCCTCTTCAACCTTTTCAGTTTGTAGTGCTTGGCTCAATTTTAATGAAGGTGTATTGCACTCGGAAGCAATTTGCAGTCCTAAAAAGCTAATCAGAGGCTTACATTCTTGAAGACCTATGAAAACAAGGAGTCTATTCTCTTTCTACTCTCTTTTCTCCTGTAATGGAGAATGCTGTGCTTATATGCTATAGTAACTAAAATTAAAAGATAAATTTAAGAAGCTGGTTTTATTTTTGTCTTCAAAGTGACTCTGTTCCAAAAGTCTTTAGGCTGTATTTTTTTTTCTGTGTCTGTATACTTTCAAAGTATGAGAGACATAAGTCTATGTAAACTTTTATAATGATTCCTCTATGAAATTTGGAATCCTAAAATATTTTTAAGGATATTTCCAGAATTGCTACTGAAATATTTTGCTATGCTTCGCTGGTATAGGATCAATAACTTTGATTGCCACTGTACTGGAACTTAAGAGTTATATAATGTCTGTGAAATTCTTACTTACTCTTTTTTTCTTAATATAATCAAAATTTGTATTTTACTGATGTTATTTTTCTATTATTTATTTCAGCATATCAGCTACAAAGCTGTCCTGATCCTCGGCCATTTCGTAATGGTTTTGTTATTGGGAATGACTTTACTGTGGGACAAACTGTTTCATTTGAGTGTTTTCCTGGATATACCTTAATTGGAAATTCAGCTCTGACTTGTCTTCATGGCATCAGCCGTAACTGGAATCATCCTCTGCCTAGATGTGAAGGTATGTACTGAGTGACCAGAAGAACCCTTCATTATCTGTAACTCCTCTGAAAAACAGAAAGTAATGTAGTCTTTGCATAGGAGGTATGCAATTTTGCTTCTGTTTTTTTTTTTTTTTTTATGGAGAAGCTAAAATTTTCATGGAAGTTTCATGGAAGTATAAAGTCCCCAAACACTGAGATCAGAGAGTAAATATATTTCTAGAAGATTTTAACTTCTGAAATATCAATCTGAAATTCTGGAATATGGAGCCGCTTTTTTGATCAAGGTAGTGCTATGGAGTAAAAGCTCTGCACTGAGTCAGGAAAAATGGATTCAGCACTTGATTTTCCCAACTCAGGTCACTTATCTTCTATCAGTTGAAAAAAACACATCAAAGATGGCATTAAATATAACTATACTACAGTTTAGTATACTAAACTGTATACAGAAACCACTGAAGTAATTTCTACATGTTTTAATATTTAAGAAAGGTATTATTATATATATTGTTATTTTACATATTTTAATATATTTGACTAGGATGGTAAAAAAAAAAGGATACATACTTTCATTCAACATGCATTTGAAACATCTGTAGAGAAAATCAGAGTATGAATTAGTGGTTTGCCTGAAATGCACAGAAATCAATGTCCAAAACCTTTATGTTGAGTCTTGCACTGGATGAGCTTTAAAATTACCACACTTCAATAATTTCAGAAAGAAAGTCTCTATCTATTAGTATTTCTCTTGGGAAATGTATCTCTCTCCTCTCACCTCATAGTTCTGGTTGGCTACCTGCTTGTGACAATAATGACAACAAACTTACTTACTTTTTGTTGCTAATTTGGAGATGGCCTTTAAACAAAGTGTGTTACTGCCTGCACTTGTGCAGTCGCTGAGTTAACCCAATGTCTAAATATTACTTTAGATGCATTTCAGATAGTCTTTATACTATTAGAATTACTCTTAAAATCAAAGCAAAGCAAAACAAAACAAAACAATTTGAGCTATTTGCCAGAAGTGGACTTCCAACTGCAAAAACTCAGTAAAATTTTCATTTTCCAAGCAGTGATGGTGTTTGACACAATCTAGTTACAGTGCAGTGAATGCGTTTTAAAGTACAGATTTCAGGCAGTCTAAGAAGAGTGCAAAAAGCATTTAATGCTTTTGAAAACTAATGTCTTTTTTTATAGCTCTCTGTGGAGGAAATATAACTGCAATGAATGGCACCATATATTCTCCAGGATACCCTGATGAGTATCCAAACTTTCAAGACTGCTTCTGGCTTGTAAGAGTACCACCTGGGAATGGAATCTACATCAATTTCACAGTTCTCCAAACAGAGCCAATATATGATTTCATAACTGTCTGGTAAGAAAACACTATTGGCATTTATTTAATCTTCTTGTGACACTATGTAACAAAATAGGGATTAGAAAGAATATCTTTGCAATTTCTCCCTTGACATTTGTTGTTTTGTCTGGTGACAATGAGTGATTTGCAGTATTCCCTCTTTCGCAATGCATTATTCTCTAGTTTTCACTGGATGTGAAGTTGCCTAACCATTGTTTTAAGCATTTGAAAACAATAATAGCATGTCTTACCAGTTTATTAATCAAGAAAAGTACAATGAGATAAGACATACTGTCAGCAGTGAAAAGTAACTACACTTAAAAAAACAGTGAAAATAAATAGTTGCATTATGATGTCCTTCAATATCAATAAAAGGAATCCAGCAACATTTTCTTCATGCAGCTTCTTTAATTGTGAAGCTAGATAAAAAATTCTACCAGTTGAGACTTTCTGAGAGTAAAATCCTTAAAAATAAGAATTATAGGTGAATTCGGTTTTCACGAGTAGAGTTTCAAGCAGATTCTTTAATAGGTTTCAAGTAGAATCTTGTGCTAAGTAGAGAATATACATTTTTATTTTTAGTAAAGCCACTATTCAGCCAACATCTTTTAAAATATAGTTGTATTCATGTATCATTTTTTCTAGTAATAACCAAATCCAAAAGCTAGCGAAAATGAACTGTTTTAAGTTTATTTCTTCTTAATATCCGAGGAAGGTTCATGACAATATGAGGAAGCAGTATCACAAACCCAACCATAATGAAGTCACTACAGTTTTTTTAGGAAAAAAATAGATTACTTCCAAAAGGTGGCAAAATGGAGAATTTGGTATTCTAATAATTTTTGATGTCTCTGTAAACAACTAATCCTTATACTTCAGTTTACTACTGTATTTCAGAAGAGTTGCTGCCCTTAATCTATTTTATCTGATTTTAGATGACTTAAGATTTCAGAGTAACCTAGAGAAAGTTGGCTACTTTGAATAAAAAACACATGCCATTTGGACAAATACATAATCCCTCTTCTCTTCATTTCTTTCATTCTTCTCATTTTCTTCAATATTCCTATTTTTTATATAAATTTTGCATAGTTTATCTTTGTTAATATTTGTTTTCCTTAGGGACGGACCAGACCAAACTTCTCCTCAGATTGGACAATTCAGTGGCAACACTGCATTAGAATCAGTCTACAGCACTTCCAATCAGGTTCTGATCAAATTCCACAGTGACTTTACTACCAGTGGCTTCTTTGTACTTAGTTATCACGGTGCGTGACAAATAATTTTTTTCACTGTCTGTATTGATTAATGTTGGAATAAAACTTAGAAAAAAAATCTTAATTACTTTTTAATTGCTATCATTAGTATGAATGACCAACATTAGAGTAATGTGAATGTTTGGAAGACTAACATGAGTGACCAAATCAGACTAATTTCTTAACCACATTAAACTTACTCAAGCAAAAGAAGGAACATTTTCATAGGATTCTACATAATAAAGAGGACCTTGTTATTCCAGGGTCGTATCTCCTCGCTCCTTACAACATTTCTAAAGTTCCGTGTAATCTAAATACTTTTTTGTGACATTCAGCTTCTGTGAGGTATTGAAATAAATATTATGAAGAAAGTGCTCTTCTTCCAGAGTCAAAATATTAGTGAACTGTTTTATAGTTATTATTAACTGATGTTAAATTAAATCTTTTTGAAAGTGATATTGGAGACCAAGTATCCAATTTATTTTGAGTGATGTTAAGTACTGACACACTACAGAATGGTTGAGGTTGGAAATGACTTCTGGAGACCATGTAGTTCCAACCTCCCTGGCTCAGGTCACTTAGAGGACATTTTGCAGTTATTCCTAGGCCAAGAATCTCTTCCATTCCTATTATTACAGTGAAACAAATTCAACAGCAAGAGTGCACTTAGGTACTCAGGCAATATAGATAACAGTCTATTTTCTGGATCCTGATCAGATTTTTGGACTAGAGTTCTACTTTTAAACTGAATAAAACCAAGGTGCACACAGAAAAAAAAATAGGAGAATTAGACAAAATTTGCTAGAAATAGCAACAACAACAAAACTAATGTCCACAATGAAGAAACAGCAGCAATAACTTCCAATTTGCTTATGAAGTATTGATTCCTGTAGGACCAAGCAGGAGTTTTCAGAATTTCAGTTCCAGACCTGGTTATCTAAGTTCCATGTTGCAGTGTGTGAAGAATCAACAGAATCTTTGCCTTTATCAATATATGTGGCTATATTTACCTGTATCTATACATGACTATTAGTTAGCTAGGAATATTTTGCTGTTTTGTCTAAGAAAAGTTCTAAGGAAAGTAACAAGTCAATAGGACACTACTAAAACATCTTAGAAGAATTTGTATCTGAAGCATAATAACTAGCTTCTAATTTGTTAATTTCAGAGGAATTAGTTCTCTTTGGTCTTATCTAGAGATATTTGATCTACATCACATTCAAAATACTTCTGTCCATAAGGGATTATACTTAGTGGACTGTTTTGTCTTTGTTGCTATTTGAAAGTAGGGATGGAGGGGGGGGAAGGAGATATCAAATACACCTGAGTCTGGTGGTATCTGATTCAGTAACAGTCCATCAGCGGTAGGTCCAGTCACCTACCAAACAAATAGTCGAGTTCACAAACAGCATGATTTACTCAAATGCAACATTTACAAAGCAGATTTCAGATGTCACTACAGGAAATTTTCTGCGACAGCGTGGGATTTTTCGCTAGCTCTGGCGTGCAAATGTGCAATCATCACTCAGCCCAGAAGATGGGAGAGGGCTCTCAGTCTCGAGTCTCCTCAGGCGGCACGCCAGTCCGAGGGGAGGAAAGGGGGATCAGGCCGTTGACTGACCCAAGAGTTACGATGGAATCTTCCCTCCACCTTTTCATCCTTAGTTCACCTTTTATACTTTTCTTTACATTCAGGTGGAGCTTGAGTGACTAGAGTCATACTTATTATTGTTATTGATTGATGAAAAAGTTTCTTGCTTTCATTTAAAGGTACAGTCAATCGAAAATCTAGAGCGCATGCTCAGGGAGGAGTGGTTGTTCCTTGGGGGTGGTTATCTTTTGAGATGGAGGTGTGTTTTGACATTATAATGAGCTTATAATGAGCAAAGTTCAAGCAAAGTTCATCCAAAAGGAGTGATTTGCCACCTTTGCTGGCTCAGCACCGGACATGTTATCGTGTATCTCCCATTAGACAGCCACTGTGCAGCTTATCAGCAGCCCAGCACAGGGAGTGCAACAGAGTTTGGCCGCGGTGTCTTCACTCCGCTCCATCCTCTGTTACTCCCCTTTGCAGCTGCAAGGAGGGCAGGTTGTGCTGCCCAGGGAACCGTGGAGGAGCAGAGTCCGAGCGCACCAGCCATCCTGGAAGTGGCAACTGTGTATCACCCCAAGCGAGCTTCTGTAATGCCAAAACTACTGCTAGGCCCTAGTTTTCCTAGTTTTCTCTAAGTTTCTCTTTTCAAGCAATTCTTCCACAGTCTTTTAACACTTATCTTTTTTATAAGTGGTGTCAAGAGGGGAAGAGTTCAGGAGTAGAAATATATCAAGGATAGCTTTTGTAAATAAGGAAAGTAATTGCATAAATAAAAAAATAATAAAATAAAAAAATCAAACAACTCTTGCACTTGAATGTTAACCTCAGTAAGAAAATTTGCAACTATTTCTAAGACTTGCTAGGTTATTTATGCAGGGAGTGTTGACTTCAAAATTACATAGGTATTTAAGAAGGTGAATTCACCTTCCACTTTCTCATTTTTATTACTGATACTGTTTTCTTTCTTTTTTATTCTGTTAAAATTCTAAAATAATTGCTTATTTTTATCTTGTTACCTTGTTAACTCAGTTACATTCCTGTGCCTCTACTAATCATGGAAGTATGGGGATATTAACTGTGCTATCTTCCTTTTAATAGCCTACCAACTTCGGGTCTGCCAACCTCCAGCAAATATACCAAATGCTGAAATTTTGACTGAAGATGATGAATTTGAAATAGGTAATGTGAGAAAAAATGAAAGCAATAGCCGTGACTGCCATGAACAGAAATTTATTATTTTTCAAAATGTAAATCATGCCTAGAATTTGTTATATCTAGATTTGAAAATATACTGTCATCTCCCTCAATTCTTCCTCACTATAGAGTAATAGCTGTTTCAGCTATTACATTTAAGTATCTCAGTAACTTCTTTCCAATTAAGTGCATTTTAAAATAAATTTTCTATAATGCTTTTATATTGAAATCTAAGAATATTTGAATACATGAATACATTTAATACACATAATAATATAACAAATTAAACATTTGGAATTGTTTTTTCTCAGAAGCATCAATGAAATATTATCAAAATATCCCTAGTTAGAGTTTTTAAAATAAATTTATTTTTTGATTAGAAAAAAATTGTTGGTGATGGTATGTATTGTATCTCAAATATGGTTTTGTGAGATGAGGAGTAACAACAAGTTGAGGAGAATCCAAGGAGGGGATGACATTCTAACTTTAAAAGATGTGTTAACAACATGAATTAGCCACCTATCCTTCAATATTGAAATATTGTCCTTCTGTTTTGCCTCACTGTGTCTCTGTGTAAGATGGGATGTTTGACTCCTTCTCTGGAGATCTTCAAAACCTACTTGGATGCAGTCCTGTGCCACGTGCTCTAGGTGTCTCTGCGTATGCAGGGGGGTTGGACTAGATGATCTCTAGAGGTCCCTTCCAACCCTAAGCATTCTATGATTCTATGATTCTATGACTGCATGTTTCTGCTTACATTATGGCAAAAAAGAAAATTCTTAAGTTTCATCTATTTGTTAATAATTGGTGGCAGAAAAAAGTATCACCTATATACTTTTTTCTGTTCTTTCATCTATATTTTTGTCTTTAACTAAGCTTGTGAGAACTTCTGAGTTACAAGCATTTTTACTTTGTACATTTACATTTTTACTATAAAAACTATATGAATACTTTATTAAGAAAAAAAACAAAAACAAACAAAAACAAGCAAACACAGTTTCTTATTCTGATCATGCCAAATTCGTTTATCATTAATTAAATGTATTTCTTATGTTTTTTTTTTTTCCTATAAGACTGTAGGAATTACTTAATTTTTCTTGTCTTTTAGTTTGGTTCCACAATGATTATCCAATATCACTTAAAGCTTTATGGGCACCAGCTTGTCTGGCATCAGTCAGAGCCAGGCATATTATCCAGCTAACATTGTGGTGGAAAACAGTGATAGATGCAGAATAGTGTGTGTGACAAAGCTCATTTACCACAATGTTTGCTTAAACTAATCTGTCTAAGTAAGTTGTTTATGCCAGAGGTCATTTTGTCCATTATGTATGTCAGCAAGGAACTTCATTAATCAATAATGTTTTCAAAGTTAGAAGTCCTAGATAATTGCTGCTTAATGGTATCCTTTTTTATCAAACAGGAGACATAATAAGGTACCAGTGTCAACCAGGCTTTACATTGGTTGGTAATGAGATTCTGACCTGTCGACTAGGAGAAAGACTTCAGATGGACGGAGCACCACCTACCTGTCAAGGTTTGTCCTCTTCTTTTTCAGAGCTGAAAACTACCCTTCACTTCCTCTTTACAAAAAATGGCACAGTTAAACTATCATTTTCTCTACAATGTATCAGTAGGGTAATTCATATGAAGATTTTAAAAATTCATTATAACATAGCTTATATTTAGTTGAATGAGATCATGAAATTATTATGGGTTTAAAGTGCAATTTCAATGTTTTATATTTTTATTCACTGTATGCTAAAGAATGATGTTTTTATGTACGTGCATGCACGTGTCTTTATATTTTCTATCTTTCTTGCAAACTCTGAGTAAATATGCCAATAGTTCATTGTTAAGGTTAAAACAAGGTTACAGTTTTGACAACCACCAACATCTCACAGTTTAAACAAGTTCTTATTAAGCTGAGATGTGGTGTGTTGCCAGAGTAGAAATTTGTCATACCTTTTGAAAAAAATGTGAGAGGTTTTATGTAGTACTGATTAGGGAATGGAGGAAAACTTTCAAAGCTTTATATCAAAAATTGGAATCTCAATTAAATGTGATGACACGTATCTGTGGTTTCTGGCTATTTCATCCAAGTATTGAGAGAGAGAAATAAGGACATGTGGTTATAAGTATTTAGGACAAAGAGACAAAAATCCAGCCTCAGAAAAGTATAATCTCTATAAATTACAAACATTCTTGATCCAGCTATTTGTTATGCTATTCTTTTATGATCCATCTGCTCTTACAATTAATATTATACATTATTACAATGTTAATATTATACTACTTTCTCAAATCAGTTAATAATAAATACAATTGCTTACATTTTATTAAATGAAAAATGCCAATGTCTGGGTTTATTGTCTATCTCATGATCAAAGTTTTATTAACTAATAGTACTAAGTAATTATGAATGAATCCACTGCATTTACAATTTTTTTTACAGTTTCTTAATAATTTTAAAAATTTCAGAGTATTTATTGTGACTTTAAGCATTACTATCTCTTAATTATGACTACAATATTCAGTTCAGAGTTTTCAGTTGGGTCACCTAGGTTAGGAAGGTAGATAATTGCTGTCATCTTCTGTTAAAATAGAATATCTCCCATGTCCAGAATCTAGCTTTCCTCTTCCTTTTCCTTGAAACTAAGTTGTACTTTCAGGGTGAAATGAAAGACTCAGAATAAAAGGATTCAAACTGGATTTTGCATTATAATTATGGGAATCTTAGAAAATTCTTGGGTGATGACTCTCAGCTATGCCTCAGCTACAATAGCTTGCATCTGTAAAATAACTTAGCTACCTGGTTCCTAGGGGAATTCATTGTAGGTCTGTTAGTTCTCTATACAATTCATCAGGGACGCATAGAAAGGGATCCTAAAAGGACCTCTTTGAGGCCTGAAAAAACTTTTCAAAGCAGTGTCATGTGGAGATAGCAAAATTAGCTGTAAATAAACATGTGCAGCCAGAATACAATGCTCTTCCTGACCTCTCTCTCTCCTTTCACTCTATCTCCCTTTCTGTCTCTATGTATGTATACACACACACACGTACATACACACACACACACATATATATAAAAGCTTGAGAGGATGAGTTCTTTCATCTACTGAAGGGGATCATTTCTGTCATCTGGTAAAGACTGAATCATCACTGGCCCAGTGTGATTTTGACAGTCAGATTATAGAATGATGAACTTCAGTTATTCTCTTGTAGTAAGGAAGTGTTAAAGTCAATCTCTTCTTTATTAACAGAGACTAACACGGGGAGCAAGTTTTTGTTTGTTTGTTTGTTTGTTTTTAAGAGCAATTAGATGATAATTTTTGAAAGTGACAGATACTTTATATAGTCAGATTCTTATCTATTATTTGAGTTTTATTTATGAAAGAAGATTTTTATTACTTTCTTTGCTTTTCTGTGAGCTGTTTTTCTTTCTCTAAAGTCCAGTGACTTAGAAGCCTGATTCTTAGAAGCCAAAATAAAAGCCTTATTTTCATGTTTAATAGGACAGAATTGCTTTCACTGCCTCTGAGGAAAAAAAAGACCCCATTATTTTTGTTTCTATGTATGTAGGTGCTGACTATTAATTCACTTTCATATAAGTACTACTTTTGAATATAAATGCTGGATTTTTAGCCTTCTGTTAAAATTTTCTCTGCCCTGAATAAACTGTAAGTTACTGATAAATATATCCTGAAGTAAAAGCAAATCTTGAAAGACATCTCAGTAGCATGGTAATGTCAACTATTTTTATTTAGCTTATCAAAAATGTCATGATAATGCTCCAGTGAAGTACCTTCCAGTCCAAGAGAAAATGCTCAGAGTGTAAGTGAACCTCTTCTGTCTGACAAAATAAAACAAAACTAAGATGTTAAGGTAAATCCAGTACTTCACATACAGAAGAGCAGAAGATAAATAGCAACTTTTGTTCTGGGCAGAATCAAGAAGAATCGTGTCCATTAGCCTGAACAGATCACCATGCAAATACAGGTTCACTGTTTCAAACACTCTTAATTCTGATGTTTACTGTACTGCATAGATCCAATGGATTAACTCAAAATCAAATCTCTGTCACACTCTATGTTTTTTAACCTGATTTTGCTGAATTTCAGCAATAGTGATATTATTTTTTTCACAAATATCCATTTACCATGCTAACGTCTTCTATCCTTCCTTGAACTTTGATGGTTAATACAGCTAGAGTTGTTTTATATTTTCCAGCACAGCTGTAGGTGGATAATGAATAACTGCAGACTGTGGTGTTGCAAATAAAAAAACAACTCTTAGGAAAGAGATAAAAGTAAGGCCTGCTGAATAAGCCAGCAGGGATGGAGCAAGCATCTTCTTTCATCCCTACAGGAGACACTCTCATGTTATGGGGTCCAGCCTTTCCCAACAGTGTTTTAGAGACCAGGGTAAATCAAGTTTCCTTTCTTCTTCCCTAGAGTTGAATTTGGGAAAAAAGCTGTCAGCTATTAAGAAGTTGAGATCTTTAGGGTTCGTTTCTTCAAGTTTCTTCTTCAGCTGCCTTAGATCCAGTCATCTGGGAAACAATCTGCCCTTGTTTTAGGAGGAAAGCATCAGGTTGTCTGAACTTGAGAGTGCCCAATTTCAGAAACGCGAAAGTGTAACTAAAAAATTAGTTGCATACATCCTACAAAAAAGAAAGTGATTTCTAGATGTAAATTGTGTGTACATAGCATATGAGACACAGTTATATATCTGTTATGCTTAACCGAAGGATAATGAAGAGTATGGGATTTAAAAATATATATACCAGGTTGTTATGTGGATTTTTTTTTAATCTTTGTTTTCTCACAAGCTTCCTTATAAGTATATGAGTATCCTAAAGTTAGCTCGAATGTCTGTAGCACATTCAGGAAGAGAACACTAATGTCTTGACTGATAGACTTCTTTGATTTTCAGAAATTCTTTCCTTCTTCATCTGGTAAAATGGCAATATACTGTGTATAGAGACCGAGAAACAGAATTTAAAATGATTTTTTTTTCTGATAAATTAGCATTGTATGAGGTTTCTCTAGATCCAAAAGCAAGATAGCTGCCCTGTCACAATCATGCTTCCTGTCCAGTCAGTCCTGCTGAGAGTCCGGGCTAATTAGTCACAATGAAATGTCAGTCTGAACTATATCTGCTGTTTCTAGGCCACAGGCATAGTACTGCATTGTACGCTGTAGATATACCAGTGTTCTTGGAGCTTTTAGGAGGGATTGACTACTTGCTTATTTAGAGTCTGAAAACTAAAGATCATACAGTGTCACCAACGCTGGCTTTCATTGCAGAACCTCTCCTATAACTATTGTTCGTGGTAGATAGTAATCTAAAAAATAGTGATAGTTATAGTGATAGGAATAGGAATAAGAATAAGATCTGTGGTTCTTTTTCTGAATAATGCAACAATTAATTTTTAAGTACAACCTAAAATATATCAGATATCATGTATCTTCTAGAAGATATACACCAATATATCTTCTAGAAAATCTTCTAGACAGTGAAAGAAGAAAAAATGTCATGGGTGAATAATTTCTGAAGGTTGCACATTTATTTTCCATATATAGTATTTTAGATATTTTTTCTACAACCACCTTAGTTCCTAAATGCCAGTCTTTCTATATTTAATGCAATAAAATCAAACAATGGAGATATTTAAAACCAAGCCAAACCAAATCATATGATACATACAAATAGACGACTTACTTATATATTCTTTTTAATCAATTAATCCACTTCACAGTGCTCTGTCCAGCCAATGAAATGCGTCTGGATTCAACAGGAATCATACTGAGCCCTGGTTATCCTGACAGCTACCCAAATCTGCAGATGTGTGCTTGGACCATTACTGTAGAAAAGGGTTATAATATCAGCATGTTCTTCGAGTTCTTCCAGACAGAAAAGGAATTTGATATACTTGAGGTGTTTGATGGTAACTATAGGCTGCACTACTTTGGATGATACTTTATATATTTATGTGTATTTTTATATTACATCTATGGTGCCACTCCTAAATAACGTTATGCATACCATGATGAATTTAAGTGTAAAAAAGCAGTTAAATAAGCACATCTTTGGGTTTGTTGTGCTAAAAAGATTTGTTGGATTATAAATACCTTCTGCATTGTGTATCATATAATGTTAACTTCCATATTTCAATGTGATTATTTTACCATTTGCTTGGAATATATATTTAAAGTATGTTAACTGCATGCCTATAATTTACTGCATGTGATTTTAAACTTTGTAACTCCTGTTTTTTTTCTTGCTTGTGTCAAGGACCAAATAGTCATAGCCCATTGCTCATTTCTCTCAGTGGGGACTATTCGTCTTCTTTAAATATAACTAGCAATGGTCATGAGGTATTTCTCCGGTGGTCAGCGGATCATGGCACAAATAAAAAAGGTTTCAGGATAAGATATGTAGGTACGTAAATTATTATTTTCTTAAATATGTATAATATCTCAATATAGAATATATTTATTTGTGTGAAAAGGATAACATAAGATATGCTTTGTGACATCAGTTACTGAAACTGAAAGGAATTCCAGTTGATTTAAATTGGGTGTGAACCCAGTGATGCTGATCTTATGAAATAATAATAATAAAAAAAAATCTACATGTAGACACCACATGTGCAAACAGTAAGTGAAGTTGATACTTAACAAAGACTAATTTTTATATTGTTATTTTAATTGGATTATTATGAATTACCCGTTTTTTGCAGATAAGTAGCACTCCATACTCAGACTAAGCTAAATCTGTTGTAATTTATAGCAATTTCACAAAATTTGAACATGAATTTTGTAGCATGACCAAAGACACAAAATATAAAGAATGAAAAATATCAGAGATAGGAGCTATAGAACATTTTCGATGGAATTATTAATTTAATGGTATAACAAAATTTCACTGTACAAAGTGGGAAAAAAACGTAGACCATAAGTATAATAAAATAATTAGGCTTGGTACAAAAGCCCATGAAGTAGTAGTGTCATCTTTTTCTCAAGGAGGGCATGGTTTTCTGAGAGCTAAAATATGTTTATTATATAGTTAGATAAAATTCACTGGATCCTTTAAAAATAAGATGAAAAATCTCTTAATATGATCTGTTTACTATCAGTGTAACAAGGATATTGAGACTTGAACAGGAAATAACAGCTAGTGAGTGGTCCGTACCTTGCAGAAAAACAGCAAAATATTTCCTCCTACACTAAAGAAGAAGAGATGTCTGTATCTTTCAATGATCTTTTTGCTCTTATAAAGATTTCTAGATGTTGTTTTGAAAAAATTTTTTGCCTTTTTTTTGCATAATATCCAGATAAGACTTCTGTAGGGCTTCTCAGGTTGTCAACAAATCACAAAGAGGAAAATACAGATTTATTGTTTTTGATATGCATTTTAGTAGCACTCATAAATATGATTAAAAACTATTATTTACATGTGCTAGTTCACAGAATTATAGAACTTGAACTTTGCTAGGACCAGAAAAAAAAAACAAAAAGGGTTCTGTGTAGGATGCCTTTGATGGTTCCTTCTTCAGATCATTTTGTATATTGCAGAAACTTTTGAGATTGGACTAAAATTCTCTGTCTTAAAAAATAAGGTTGTAAAAGGTAATTATAGAACTACCACCTTTTACTTCCTCTCAAAGCACTAAAAGACTCTGTTCTTTTACCTTTATACTTAGTGTTTGACTAGTGCATGATTAAAATACAACTTTCTGTTGATATATTGCTCATCTCATTATCAGATACCCACTGAGTTCAATAAGAGTTTGTCAAGAACTGTCATCTGGCTCCTAAGTGCATCTTTTATTTGTTTAATATTTGTGTTTAAAGCTCTCTATTGTAGCACTCCAGAGTCTCCTCCACATGGTTTCATAGTCAGTCAGACAGGTGGGCAGCTCAACAGTATGGTCCGCTGGGCTTGTGATCGAGGTTTTCGGCTCATTGGAAAAAGCACTGCTGTGTGCAGGAAGTCTCCATATGGTTATTATTCATGGGATGTGCCAGTCCCCGCTTGTCAAGGTAATTGTATCATTATAACTTGCAATTTTTTTTTCTTTTCTAGTATAAGCCATCAGTTTTCTGACTTAAAGTGAACATGAGGTGACCATTTAATGTTCATTCCTCTGTATAAAAATGCAGGCAGGTAATTATTGCCAACAGTATAATAGAGTACAGTGATTGGAGTTCAGTAATGGAAGTAGTTGTGCTGTTCAAAGATATGCTTCAAGAACAAGTGGAATTAAATGCTTAGCAACCTCATGGTGTTTGATCATACAAAGACTCTTAGACTAACTATTGCTGTAATGTAAATTTTAATATAATATATTAATAGCAATTAGTTATAATTGTTCATTTAATGAGGGTTAACTTTGAAACGTGATAGGGACTTCATTTGATTCTTCTAGCAATTCCTGTGTGAGGGAAGTGTTTGTGGTTATATTTATGCCCTCCCGACATTATTATTGCAAAAGCCCCTCAGAAATAGCCTGATTCAATGCATCACTTCTGCGTCTAAGCTTCCACTTGCCTTGCCAATGTGAAAATTATCCTGCATATGGAAGATATATGATACCATCTCTGATATCAAAAGATTGATAACATTATCAGTAAATGTCCCTAATGTTCTTTAATAGAACATATCCAAGACTTCCTTTTATCTGAAAAATACAGCTTCATCACAAAGTAGTTCCAACTCTTTTACCTATGGATTTATTGGTTTTAGAACTTTGTGATATAGTCATAATTGCCCATCCCCTTTTTATCTTTTCAGTTTATTCTGCTTCACATTTTGACATTTATAGTGTAACTACCAAAGGCAATTTAACCATTTCTTTCCCATACCCCTTTTTTGCAATGGATGAGCAATGTTCACATAGGAAAAAACGAGGCATTTTTATTATTTTTTTAATTTGAGAAAAATGTTTTTAAGACCAATGCAGCCCATTTTAATCTATGTGTCTTTTACATAAACAAAGATTACCAGTCAACTCACAGTAGTTGTTATTGATGTCATCCTATAGGAAATAAGAGATCTAAGAAATCAAAAATTGAGAATTAATACATTGCTTCTAGAATCAGCACAGCTGGCATTGTTTTTAACAATGCTATTTCAATTTTTCTTCAAGCAGTTTTTTACTGCTTGCAGATGGTTTTCCTGACTTTATTTAAACCAGTGCTTTCTCTCTACATTTTTCATTTTTCAACTGTACAATTATTGAGTCATCATTCCGAATTCCCTCCTGTAACTAATGAATGCCAGTAGCGTTCTTCACTGCTGCTTTTTGTCAAGATTGAATGTTATGTTAGAGCAACACATTTTTAATGTTCTCATTCTTTCACCTCTATGAATAGAAATCTTGATCTCTAAAGCTCTAAATATATAATACCAGGCATTCCTCAGATCTCATGCACTACAGAACTTCAGCTGAAAAGTCCAGATAAACACTTCAACCTCGTGAAAGCTTTTTTATATTATGTATAAACCCAAATATATCTTAGCAGGAAATACTCAGTACAGCAGTGAGGAATCAGAAGGAAAAGCCTCTATCTAAGAGTTGAACATTTAACTGAAATCTTTTCCAAAGTTAATAGAGAATTACTCTTTTCCTGACATGAAAAAAGACAGTTTATTTAAAGTCTAATATAAGTATAGTAGTGGCAATAATTACTATTAAATACAAACTTTACTGTTTTAGCTTTTATGTGGCATCTGTTTTTAAATAAATTGCAATGTGAAAGTAGTGTCTATCCATGCATCCATCCCTGTTTTAATGATACCAAAACTTTGAAATCATAAAGCCAATAAAAGTTTCAAAGATTCCTATGACTAACAAAATTATGAAAATTGATTATGATAAAGGCTTTAAAGAATGAGAATTAACATGCTGTGGGAAAGAAAATTAAAGCTTTATACTTCATGCAAATGTAAGCATACTTACAAATGATAAAGATTCTCAGTAGCTTCAAGGTATTTTAAAGCATTTGTTATTGTTTACATTTTACTTTTAATCCCAGCATTACAAGATCCTTGGTTTTAATTATGAAATGTTTCCCTTTCATATAAGTGTTGTCTCATACAGGCCTCATCAGAAATCAATATTAATAATTTGTAATTTCATGAAAGAATTGCAAACAAATGGTTTAGCGGAAATTGTAGTTCATGTTGAGTAAATAAAACTTCATAAATAAATTAGAATTCATCTCAGTAATTTAGGTCAGTAAAGGTATCTGAGTTATGTAAATCGTCATACTTGTGACTATTAAGCAAAGACACTAAGGCATACCGAAACAAACAAACAAAAGGGATAAAGAAAGACTGCCCTTAAAGGTAAAATTGTGCTATTCCAACTGTTATCTACAGGTAATATTTTCTTAGAAATGACATTTTTGGCTGATATAATGCTAAAATGCATTTATGGTAATCTGGGACCAAATGTCTGATGTGTAAATAAATTATCTCCTAATTTTATATATTTTTAGATATGCTTGTTACTTTTGAGATACTAGTGTTAATATTAATGTAGATTAGTTAGCTATATTAATTAGCAATCAATACAGGTATGTTAACAATAACTTTTTTTTGTATTTATTAAAAATAACACTGTTTATTGCAAAATGCAAGAGCAATAAGTGTGAAAATTCATTTAATAACTTGTTAAATTCCAAAGCTGACTCCTTTTAAGATTATGTTCAGGACAATCTACAGGAAACTTAGTTTTCATGATATTTCTTCATTCTTCATGGCTCGAATGTCCAAGTAATGAAGTTCAGAGGATTATGCTGCTGGAGATTTTCAGAAGTAGTCCTGCCTGTGCTTGAAATGCTCCTTGTAAAGGAATTGTCCTTTAATATTATCAGCTCTCAGGTGGTTTTAGCTGTCATTGGTGCTCAGTATTTTGTCTCCTGGAGGAGAAGGAACCTACACCTACTAAGTGTTATTTTTATTTTTATTTTTTAAATAAGTCAGAGGACATCCAAGAATCAAAAGTCCCTTGTACAGTGGATAATATTTTTTTTTTTGCTTGAAAAAAGCGGAAAAGTTTAATTGTTCCTTAACATTTAAATGAAGATTTTTAAAAGCTTTATCCCAGTCCCATTGTAATATGAAACAACATATAAGTATTTGGAAGGTGATAGTGGTCTTCTAAAACTAATAACTTAGTGTCTTTCAAGGACTTCATGTATATATGTTTGAATTTGGAACTGTGTTCTGAAGTTGACGGACAAAAAAAGCAGATTTTAGTGTTCTAGTTATGACTTTTAGAATATGATTCTGAAGTCAATTTGTGAAGACATGGTTTATAATGCCCAATCTGGTATATGGTGATCAAACATTTCAGTGATTAACCTGTGTTTTTATTCTTATTCTTATTTTGTTTTGTTTTGTTTGTACACTTTGAGTGTTTCTTATTTGTCTTTTTTTTTTTTCCTGTTGGGTTTTCGGATAAGGCAATAGCTCAATTAAATCTTTAATTTCTGTGCTCATAGGTAAAATTCAGCTTATTGCTGCTGACAGCTAAAAGTCTCAATAAATCCTTTTTAGTTTTGATGTTCATATAAAAAACTTATCAAGGATTTTGAACATTGGGATGAAGCTTATTTTTTATTAATTTAAGGCCAAGGGTAAAATATATTTTTCTCATGCCACAAAGTTGATTCTATTAAATAGATGGTCTTGCTCAAGTTTTTCTAGTCAAGTTACTGATTGAAATTATTCAATATTGAAAGAATCATATTGATCTCTATAGTAAATATGAAATTTATGAGGTATATATGAAATATCTGAGATTGTATATTTTAAGAATGCTGAAAGGGATAGAATCTGTAGTATGTATGTGCACAAGCAGTACTACGGCATTAGTTGGTCCTCAGGAACATGAGTAACTCTGGGCTGTTCTAGTTTTAATTACTGGAAGTTTTGTTGTTTGTGGTAGCTGACTGCATTCAGAAAGCATTAGTCTGAAACCTCCTTTTATCATAGATATATGTTTAGGAAGGAGGTGATATACTTGACCAATAAAAATCTATCAATTTACAGATTAG